GACGACTACCACGCCTTCAGGCTCGCCCACGGCCGCCCGCGCACGAGGGGGAGATATCAGTCCGGTGAGCAGGACGCCCTTTTATGTAGACTTCATTGAGAACGAAAGCTTGGAGAAGAAGGACGTGGAAAAAAGGAAAAGTTTGGTCACTCTTCACCAAGTTGTCAGTTGTAAGAGCAGATGAACGTAAAAGTGAATGTACGCATGTGTGGCTGCATGACTGTTTATGACATACGAAATTTACGCTTTTCCCTTTGCTCTGTCTGCGCTCAGACGCCGCGCCCCTGCCCGGCGCCGAGGAGCCGGCGTTCCCCGAGTTCGAGCGGAAGGACACGCGGCGCCGCACGTTCAGCGCCTGGCCGAAGGGCGCGGGCGCCGCGGCCGACTCGCTGGCGGAGGCGGGCTTCGTCTACACAGGTGGGACACGAATTGTATTGCGATTAGTGATGGTACGAAAAGAGGCTGAGGCTGTTGATCTCGTCTCGAATTTATAGATCCATTTTTTATGTCTTCTGAAGGTGTGAGTTCGGTTAACATGAAAACATGCAGTGAAATCAAGAATAAATGATACCATCGAGTACATTCCGAACTGCGATATCCCTTTCCTTAATAATCTGGAGGACAAATGTTTTAATTCAGCCTAATGTGGTAGAAAATGAAGGAAGGGAAAAGACAAGTATCTGATTCTTTCCTCATTCATACGAGCCCACCCCCTTCCTCCCCTTCAGGCGCAGGGGACTGGGTGCAGTGCTTCCAGTGCGGCGGAGGAATCCACACCTGGCGCTGCGGAGATGACCCCTGGGTGGACCACGCCCGCTTCTACCCGCACTGCTCCTTCGTCAGAGAGCACCTGGGGCAGGGAGGCGGGGCGAGCGGGATGGGGGAGAGTCCCGCCCTCTCGCCCTCGCCCCTCCCCGCGGTTCCCTCTCGTCCGGAGGAACTGAGTCCGGAGGAAGCTGAGCTGCTCCTGCATCATCCTATTGCCCAGGTAGGGAGCTGCTCGCGTTTCAGGAGATATATAGATAGATAGGCAGAGAGGGAGAGAGAGCGAGAAAGAGAGCTGACAAATCGATAGAAATAAAAATCGAGAAAAAAATTATAGACAGATTTTCCCTGAATAACTAAAATAATAATACTAATGATAATAACAATGATAATTTTGATAAGAATTGAAATGACAATAATGAGGATGATAATGTTAATGATCATGATAATGAAAATGATAATAACAATGATGATAATGATAATAATAATAATATAATGATAATGATAATAATAAGAACGATGAAATATAATGATTATAATGATGATAATGAGGATAAAATAATAATGATATTAATAATGATAGTAATAGACCCAATAATTTCCAGCGACTGATATCCAAGGGCTTCCGGCATGGGCTTGTGAAGGAAGCCCTGAAGCAGAAAGTCGAAAAATCAGGCTTAATGTGCAGCAGTCTGGACGAAGCTCTCGAACTCATGTTTGACTTCGAGGACTCCGTCAGTGACTCATTTCCCGAGAAGTCAACATAACGACCGGGATTTTGAGAAGTGAAAGGAGGAATTGAGAGATTTAAATTCGTTTTCATTTCCATGTGGATAACGTAATACGCTGTTATGAGTATTAGACAGAGATTTTGAAGAAAATATAAGATCTTCGTCTTTGTGATGGATGCTGTTATCACGAATTTGATCATAATGCTGCAAGAATATAATACTATCAAAGTCATAGTGTTATAAAAAAAATGATACAATAACGTCTGCGACCTTCCAATGATTTGTTTTTTTTTTCTGCCTATACAGCCCTTGCAATTGTACTTATGAATGATTTGTGTTGGTTTGTAATTGATGACGTAATTGAATATTGCACATAGACCATTCAAAGGAATAATTTTGCAGTAACCCGTCTTCGATCGATCTCGACGGCGTGCTTTAAAGAATGTTTTTTTTTTTTTTTTTTTTTTTTTTTTTTTTTTTTTTTTTTTTCCTGCTTGTGAAATACAGTGATTGTTTTTATATCATATATTACATGAACTGGCATCTTTTTGCACATGATTCGGGTCTTTGGATGAGTCATCTGATAGAGTACGATAAGAATGTAATGATATGCGCTTCTGTTCAAGATAACAGAAAATATGTGTGCGTTTGAGTGCTTCTTTGTTTGGATAAGCGCGTGCATACGTGCATCCGTGTGTGAGAGAAAAAATGAGAGGCGGAGAGAGAGAGAGACAGAGACAGAGAGAGAGAGAGAGAGAGAGAGAATGGATATAATGGATATTTTTAGTCACTACCACATTTTATAAAATAGGTTTATACTACGTTCCTCTTATAATTACTGTATGTTGTATTTCCTGTCAAATAGAAAGCAGCTACTAGAAATATCTTTTATTTTGAATCCGTAATAAATAAACATAAACACAAACCTATGATCGACGAAAAAAACGAGAGCGTATGTGAACGAGGAACCGTATTCATTATGATTCCTTTTTTGTTGAGGATAATTTCGGATGAAATAAATATTTGGATGTCTTTGTTTGTCTTTTTGCCTACGCGGAGGAGGATATGTTTTTGGTGGCTTTGGTTTGTCAGTTTATTTGATCGTTGGTTAGCAGGATAACAGTAAGTTATGGTTTGTGATTTTGTTTTTTTTATTTATTTATTTATTTTTTTAGAGGTATGTCTTAGCTTGATGTCATTAGATTTTAGTGGTGATCCAGATCCAGGACTTTTTTTAATGATTGCATTAGGTACCCACATGCACACGGACACATACATACTTGCACACACACGGACTCATCCACACACTCACCCACGTCTTGGGCAATCAGCAATTCAAAAGCCCCAATTCGCCTCATTTATAATTGGTGGCCGCGGCTAAGTGGATAATGATTATCCTTCTTTCGGAGTGACATCATCAGTAATCCAGACCGTAGCCGCATTTCGCCCAAACATCCGCTCAACGGCTGACCCGTTCCAGCGGGAGGCGTTGGTGCGCCTGCGTGGCGGGAGGAGAGACACGACGAGGAAGAAAACAAAGCGGTTCCTCAGTGGCTGCATCGCCCGCATGTACTTGCATTTGCAGACGAACATCGCGATGCGCAGAAAATAAAATCCCAAATAAAATTAATTGTACCCTTTAGAACTAAAAATGACCTTTTTTTTGCATCTATTTGATAAGAAAAAAAAATATTCACATAAATCAATACAATTCTGAAAAGATCAAACACATAATTTTAACTGCATTTGCGTAATTTGAATACAATATCTAAATTCATAACTTCTTCAGGAGTCTGTTGAATCATATATATTCTATTCATTCACTCAAAAAGAAACAATTCAGAAATTTGCTTTTCGAAAAGTACAACGCCCTCACGACTTTATTCCGGAGGGAGGGGGGGGGGATCTTGTAGGCTCTTCATGAAAATTGAATTATTTTCCACTTGATGCCCTCTCGTATAATAGATAATTATAGAGAGAGAGAGACAGAAGACAGACGGACAGAGAGACAGACAGACAGACAGAGAGGAGAGAGAGAGAGAGGAGAGAAGAGGAGAGAAAGAGGAGAGAGAGTGGAGAGAGAGTGGAGAGAGAGAGAGAGAGAGAGAGAGAGAGAGAGAGAGAGAGAGAGAGAGAGAGAGAGAGAGAGAGAGCTGAGCGAGAGAGAGACAGAGAGAAAGAGAGAGAGAGAGAGAAGAGAGAGAGAGAGAGAGAGAGAGAGAGAGAGAGAGAGAGAGAGAGAGAGAGAGAGACAGACAGACAGACAGACAGACAGACAGACAGAGACACACACACACACACAGACAGACAGACAGAAAGAGAGCGAGAGAGAGAGAGAGAGAGAGACAGAGAGAGAGACAGACAGACAGACAGACAGACAGACAGACAGACAGAGAGAGACACACAGACAGACAGACAGACAGACAGACAGAAAAAGAGAGAGAGAGAGAGAGAGAGAGAGAGAAGAGAGAGAGAGAGAGAGAGAGAGAGAGAGAGAGAGAGAGAGAGACGCACCCAGCACCAGGTGACGTTCGCACACAAGCTCACTCGTTTCCCTCAGTGCCTCAGACGCTGTCGTTGGCTACACGCCTTCGCCCTTGTTCACGTATATTTCCTTTGCTTTTTTCTCATCCTCCTCTCTATTATATTCTACTAAATATCTCCTCCTCTTCATTTATCTTTTCGATGAGCATTAGTTTTTTTGTTCTAATGATTCCAGCCATTTATCTTTCTTTATCTTCTCTCCCTCTTCCTATTCTTCCTTCACAGCTGCTCGGTTTCTTCTCTAATAAGATCGACAGTTTTTTTTTATACATACATGTATATATTATGTACACACACACATATATGTATATATATGAATATATTGTATATACATATATACATGCATTCATGAATATTTGAATATATGTATAGATATGTATGTATATGTATATATATAGATATATGTACATATCAATGTGCGTGTGTGTGTATTATTATTATTATTATTATTATATTAAGCTATATAATGAGCCACACTGAAAAAATCGAGATTTATACCACCAAAGGTGTCAGTGCAGGTCAAGATACAGCTAAGAAAGAATGAATAAAAGAAAGTCAGCTAATTACGTAAGAAAAACATGTTAGCTGACGTTTTAAATTTATCAAGAGTCGAAGAAGTTACAATCTCTGAAGGCAATCTATTCCAAAGTCTACAAATAGCAGTAAAAAAGCATCTAGAAAACTGACTTGTAGACGATCGACTTACATCAAATGTCATTGAATTGAGGGTCATAGAACTTCTGGTAATTCTTGCAGGTTGATAAAAATCAGGTAAAAACTTATAGAGGGGATGTGAATTATCGGTTACAATCTTGTATAAAACTGAAAGAGCCCCAATAACTCTACGATGTCCAATGTCCAAATTTAAGTCAGACAGGAGAAATTTAATGGAATTAAAAGAACGATCAAGCAGTCTTAAGTGTGAGTCTGCAGCAGATAACCACACAGAAGAACAATACTCAAAATGAGGCAGAATAAAAGAAAAGAAGCACCTACGTGTAATGTTGTCATCTTCATAGATTTTCTTGCACTTGCGAATGATGCCTAACTTTGATGAAATTGCCCGGGCCATATTCCTAATATGCAATTCAAATGTAAGCTTTGAATCAAAGGTTACACCTAAGAGCTTCAAGTTATCCACCGAAGTGATTAAGACTCCATTAATCAGCAGACTTGGATGCTGAGGCAACTGCGTTCGAGACCGACTCACAATCATTTCTTTAGACTTAGTAGGATTTAATTTCATGCCCCACCGAGAGCACCACGATTGAATCATCATCAGGTCTACAGTGAGACTGTCAGCTACTATTTGCCTAGTTGCCGGAGAAGGAATATCAGCATAGAGAGAAGTATCATCAGCATATGCCAACATTTTATTAGTAATGCCAGACCACATATCGCTTGTATACAAGATAAAGAGCAAAGGGCCAAGAACACTACCCTGAGGAACCCCAGAAGATACATGAGAATACGAGCTAAACTACCATCAACATGAACACGCTGCTGCCTACCAGTTAAAAATTCAGTTAAAATACTTAAAACTTTACCACCTACACCAAAAGACTGTAACTTAAAAATTAAACCCTTGTGATTAACAGTGTCAAAAGCTGCACTAAAATCCAGCGAGACAAGTCTTGACTCATGACCCTTATCTAAAGCAGACTGCATTTCATGCACCAACATAAGCAGTGCATCATTGCAGCCGAGTCCCTTTCTAAAACCAAACTGAGTCTCTGGAAGAAACGGTCTCAAATGTACAGAAAGACGTTTGACCAGCAAACGTTCAAAAACCTTGGATAAAATTGGTGTAATTGAAATGGGCCTATATTCAGTAGGTGAAGACTGTAGTGGGCCCTTGGGAATAGGGGTAACATTACCAAAGCGCCAGCAATCTGGAAATGACCCTTTACGAACTAAAAGGCGTAAGATTACGGCTAATTTAGGAGCTAATTGGCCATTTAGTCTTTTTAAAATCAAAGGAAACAAGCCATTAGGGTCTACTCCACCATATTCATCTAGTTCAGATAACAGATACTTGATTTCAGAGGACCTGAAAGCAAATGAATTAAAGCATGGCAATGGGTGACATGAAGGAGGAAGTTCAATATCTTCTAAACTTTGTTTTGAAATAAAACAATCTGCTAACAAGGTAGCTTTCTCAAACGGACTATACGTAACACTACCATCAGGTTTCATTAAAGGAGGAATGGAAGACTCAAGACCAGAGATGTTTTTAGTGTTGACCACCATTTATGCGGCTGTGAGGCTTGTGAGAGAACTTCAAGTGAGCATTATATTCAGATTTAGCCTCCTTATAAACATTAGTTGCTGTATTTCGCATGGCAACATAATTCTCCCAACAAAGACGAGTACGGTTAGCAGACCAGAGATTGTAGGCAGCATGTTTGTACCTATAAGCCTGGTGATACTGTTCATTAAACTATGCTTTATCATGTGAACGAGATTTCAAAGTTTTGCTGGGTACAAACTTCGTTATGATGTCCAACAATAACAAATTAAAAGCTTTACCAGGAAAAGGAGCATTGTAAACATTTCGCCAAACAAAGCTATTAAAAGCATGGTAGACACCATTCCAGTTAATTCTAGATTTTATGAAGACTTGTCTAGTTAGCGTAAAATCTGGCATAGGGAAGTCTAGCTGGATCTTACATGCTAGACTACAGTGGTCGGAAGAACCTATTGGCGAGATGGAGTCTACATCAACAACCCCTCTCACATCAGTTAGCAAAAGATCCAAAAGATTGCCACTCCTGTGAGCTGCACCACGGACTAACTGCTCACACCCAACCACATCTGCAAAATCTAATGCAGAAATGCCATGTCGGTCATATATAATATATAACTGCACATGCAAATAAGAACAAAATAAAATAATAACAGCTCAAGAAATGTAGAACAAAAATAAATTATCAACATAGAACATGAGCAGGGAAATTATACATACGTATTTTCTCCATAGATGCAGTAAGGAGTATGTGTCTGTGTCATGCTGATATGACGGCAGTTTGCGGTTTGAATGTCTGGAAGTCCGTTGTGAGTGAGGGAGTGGGAGGTAGGGAGTGGAGGGGGGTAACGGATAACCTATGCAAATTATTTCAGTGTATAAAGAGTAACTGAACTTTCATTGTTATTTATGTCAGCTTTTATTTCTTTAATCAGTGATGATTCTGTTTCTTAAATCTATTATATCTAGTGTTTTTCTCATTATTGTGAAATCATTTAGTTTCATTTCATGATTTGTCTTAAGTGAATGATCCCGGATAAGTGAATGCGTGGGAGAGTGGGCGTATTGTCTGATAAGAGACCCCTTTGTGCTCGCAATATCTCGTCTTTAGATTCCTTGTTGTTGAACCTATATATCTAGCGTTACGGCAAGAACATTTGAATGAATACACTATGAACACAGATGTTTAGCGAAAAAGTCTTTTGTCGGAAAAAA